CTAGTGACTTCTGAAAAGATTTTCACCTGTCTTTGGATATTTTGTTTAAAGATATGATGAATGGAGCTACTGTAGCCACCTTACCACCATGAAGAAGGACAATGCTGTCACTCTGAGAGCTACAAAACGAAAGACAGAAAAAGCTAGAAGTCTTGGTTTCACCAGTGCACCCCTGAACAGTGGGCACCACATACCTGCAGAGGTGTGTGAGGCAAAAACTGCTTCATGGTTTCAACCACGTTTAGTTTCATCTCTGTGACACACCGGATATAGAGAAATAGCTTGAAGCAGGCGCATTATGCAAGAGAAAAAGAAATGTCTCATCTGAACCAGGATGAGACTCTGTTGATGCCAGGACCTCTATCTTTTGGGCTGTACTGCCTCTGAAGGAATCTAGAAACTGAGCAAATGACACATATTCATGGAGCACCTACCAAGTGCCAGTCATTGTGCTGGATCACAGGAGTAGACAATGCAGAAAGGAAATTGTCATCATGGAAATCACATGGAAAGACAGGTGACAAACAAGCAAACAATTAAGGATAGGTGAAAACACTCCTGGGCTACTTTCTAAGTGTTGGTTCAAGTCAGTCCTGAGTGAAACCCTGACTCTGGAATCAGACAGAACTGGATTCAAATTCCACCCCCACCATTCACTGTGACCTTGGGAAAGTTATTTAGTCTTTCTGAGTATCAGTTTCCTCATCTGTAAAATGACAGTAATAAAAAAACTAACTCAGCCGGGCATGGTGGTAACACAGTTGTAATTCTAGCACTTTGGGAAGTCGAGGCAGGAGGATCTCTTGAGCCCAGGAGTTTGAGACCAGCCTGGGCAACATGGTGAAACACTGTCTTTACAAAAAATACCAAAATTAGCCACGTTTGGTGGTGTGTGCCTGTGGTCCCAGGTACTCAAGAGACTGAGGTGGGAGTAGCTGGGAGGTCAAGGCTGCAGTGAGCCAAGATGGTGTCGCTGCACTCCAGCCTGGGTGAAAGACAAAAAACAAACAAACAAAAAGCCTCCTAGGGTTATTGTGAGGATTACATATTAAATAAGCAAATACACTCTGTAAGTGCCTTACATGGAGCCTGACACACAGTCAGTCTAACTAGATTATAAGTCATCACCTTTGTCATCATCACAATAATTTGTGCTGTCATAATAATAACTTGTACAATAATAGTAACACAGTGGGTATCAAATGATAAGCAAGACATAGACCCTGCATTCAAGAAATCATGGCGGCAAGAATCCAGATCTGGCCATAGAACAGTCAGAAGTTAGGCAGTGAATTAGGCAGGAAACAAAAGAATTCCTCTGGTAACCAAGGTTGGGTTAACCTGGGTCCCTGTCTCAACTCTTTCCCACACATGTTTTATAACCATCACCCCCTTTTCTAAGAGGGAAAGAGATATTCTAAATGAGCACTGCTCTTCTTTCACATATGGCTACTGTTCCCAAGAGATTCAAGTGGGCTTTTTCTTTCTCCGGTGAAGTGAAAAACACAGGGCGTGGTTATCGGGATGGCACTCACTGGGTTGTGCTGCAAACCAGCAAATGCACACAGATACTCCCAGAGATGATCTCACCAGACCTCGTCTCCCTTCCCTCATTCCCTCAAAATCATACCCACCTAATAATGTGTTTAGTGCACTGCAATTGAGTATTAACTCCCATATCTAGCTAATAAAATAGATAAACATCAAACAGCTGGGTCCTCACACCCACACACATACCTTCGCCTTTAGAAACTTTTCCACTGACTGTCACCCGAGCCCCTGAACTCTCCGTCGCACTCTGCATGCATCTTCCCACAGACTTGCTCACACAGTGGCTTTTTATTTGCAAGCCCATGGGGAATCTTTCACCTCTCAGACAGGAATTTCATTAACGAAGGGGAAGGGATGGCAAAAGAAAAGCATAGATGCCGGGAAAGAAATGAGAATCATTTTTGAAGGAAACCTAAAATTGTATCGTCCTAGCCCAAATATCTCCCTTTTAACTGTTCTTTATTTGTACATTCTGTGCCCAAAAGAAAACAACTTTTCATTAATTGGGCAATTGTCCAAGCTCTTAACTTGGCATCCAACCCACAGAGCTGTGAAATCAACCGCACCAGATCTACGCTCTGAAATGAGACAACATCTAACTGGAAACCCGTTCAAAGTAAGGAAGTGGGCGAAAAGACTCAGGGTCCCTTTTCTCTTCCCCGTCTTCTCTCAGCCACATCTCTCTTATCCAATCTTGGTGAAGAAGCTTGCTTGGCTGGGAGAGAGGTCAAGGATGAGAAGGTAGTGACAAGAAAGTTCCATGAAACTCTCAGAGGTCCCAACCGGAACATCAAACCTGAATAACCAGGAGAGACGTAACCTCGGCATACTTTGAGTCGTTTTCCTCCTGCCCATGCTGCAGGTTTTTCAGGTCCTTGCTCGAGCGTGCACTCACAGGCGTAAACAAACGTGCTATCGCAGCCTGCGTCAGCCAGCCCCAGCTATTTAAGCAGGCGGGCATCAGCAAGCACAGCTTCCAAACCGCACTTGTCTTTGCCTCTTCCACGTAAGTACCTTTCAAAGGTCTGCCTTTTATGCAGAGGAATGAGTTTGTGTAAGAGCTAGACCAAAATACTCTCGTTAACCGTATTTGCTCTTCTGTTGGAAAACGGTAGAGGTAAAAGGGAGAATAGGAATGAAAAGCTTACCCCCCAGCAGAAGCCAGAAAATGCTGCTGGGTGTAAGACATCAGTCTCTTACAAACAAATCTGCATGGGGTTGAGGGGAATTTAGAGGAAGGGGAGTCCGTGCTGGTCTTTTGGCCAGCAGGTGAGATGTTTTTCTTTCTCTCTCCTATTTCGGAAAGATAACTTTGAAACCAGCACTTGTGTGACTGTGTCAGATGCCTATGATTTTCTCATTTAGAAGCAGATTATTGTTATTCTAATCCCAGGCTTTTATCCAAAACCAGACTTAATATCATTTTAAAATATGTTTTGTGTTTGACTCAGGGAAGTGAGGGAGGTGTCTCTGGATGGAGAAGTGACTTGATTCTGAATTTGCAGTGCTGTTTATTGTTACTTCTGGTATTCATAATACTTATTTATAACAACAAAAACATTGTTTTTTTTTTTTTAGATAAAAAGAGATCCCAGCCTCTGGGGTTTAGAGGAAATATAGGTTTGTGATATCTGAGTGGCATCTAAGTACTCAGGGTAAACTGTTAAGTAAAGTGGAATAGGAGTCATTGAATAAAAAGGTAGAGTCTATTGCATAGTTTAGAGGAGAAACTCTTAAAGAGAAGAGGAATGCAAGCAGTTCCCATGCAGTGGCACTGCCACGGGACAGGGCCCGGGAGTGTGTTTAGTTAAGCAGGGTTAAGTATAACCAGGGCAGGCAGAGAACAAAACAAAGGTGCTAGAGAGGAGGGAAGGGAGGAAAAGGCAGGAGCAGATTGTAAAGGATTTATAATTAGACATCAGAGTCATAAAAAAGCAGAGAGGAAATTATAAGGAATAGAGCAGGGCATTAATTCCATAGTCTATCCCTTTGTGTCAAGAATCTGGTGAAACCCAAGGGCCTTTCCCAGGTATTCATTCCCTGCATCCTGAGCCTTTCCCTCTACCCCACACCCCAACCCACACCTTGACTCTCACTTTCTGGACTCCTGGAAGTCCATGGACCCTAAATTAAACTCATGTGCTTATTTTTTAAACTGGGCTGAAGCTGCCCACTGAGGAGTCTCTCCGGAAGTGGTGGGGAGTTAAACACCTTTAACATGGCAGGCACTTTTTGGCCACGAAACGGTTTTAAGTTCATGAAGGTCTTATTTCAATCAAGCAAATAATGAGCAGTATCTGAGCAAAGATAAGTTGAGCGCCAAGAGGAAGAGAAAAGAAAAAGTGGATCCTAGTCTCAAAGAGCTTGAAATCTAAAGTCCAGGAAGATAATTAGAAGTTCTATCCAGGCACAAAATAGGATGTGTTGAGCGATTACATTTGTATAAAATGATAGAAAATGCAAACTAATCTATAACAAAAGAAAGACGATCCATGGTTACTTGGGAAGGTGGGGGAAGAGGAAAAAATGGTTGGGGGGATTCCCAAGGGGAAATTCCCAAGGGGGATTCCCAAGGGGAAACTTTTGGGGGTGATGGATATGTTCATTGTGGTGACTGTGACCATTTCTTATATGGGAAGATTAATCAAATTGTATAAACATTCAATATTATAGCTGATTACCCCCAACAAACAATACTTTAACAATATAATTTTTTCTTTTTTCTTTTCCTTTTTTTTTTTTTTTTTTTAGACAGAGTCTTGTTTTGTTGCCAGGTGCCAGGCTGGGGTGGGGTGGTGCAATCAATCTCAACTCACTGCAAACTCTGCCTCCCGGGTTCAAGGAATTCTGCCTCAGCCTCACGAGTAGCTGTGACTATAGGCGCATGCCATCACACCTAGCTAATTTTTGTATTTTTAGTAGAGATGGGGTTTCCCCATGTTGGCCAGGATGGTCTCGATCTCTTGACCTCATGATCCGCTTCAGCCTCCCAAAGTTTTTACTTTTTTGAGTCAGGATCTCACTCTATCACCCAGGCTAGAGTGCAGTAAGTAGCATGAACTCGGCTCACTGCAGCCTCTGCCTCCCAGACTCAAGCAATCCTCCCACCTCAGCCTTCCGAGTAGCTGGGACCACAGATGTATGCCACCACACCCAGATAATTTTTTGTAGAGATGGGGTTTCACCATGTTGCCCAGGCTGGTCTCAAACTCCTGAGCTCAAGCAATCTACCTGCCTTGGCCTCCCAAAGTGCTGAGGTTACTAGTGCGAGCCAGTGTGCCCCACCAACAACATAATTTTTAAATAAGTAAAAGCGTTTCTAAAGCTCAGCCTATGAAAAAATAAATAAATAAATAAATGAAAATAAAATTCAGCCTATGTAACATGCTAAACATAAATGATGAATATTTATGAAAAAAATAATTCAATAAAGCACAGAGACCAGACAGTAAGGATAACAGACTTTTATAGAACTGGGTGTGTTGCTGGAGATTATCTAACCTAGTGTTTCTGGGGCCTGGAGAACTTTAAAATTAAAAAAAAAAAACATCAGCAAGTTGGGTGGGGCACTGTGGCTCATGCCTGTAACTCCAGCACTTTGAGAGGCTGAGGCAGGTGGATCACCGAGGTCAGGAGTTTGAGACCAGCTTGACCAACATGGTGAAACCCCCATCTTTACTATAAATACAAAAACTAGCCTGGGCATCGTGGCAGCCACCTGTAATTCCAGCTACTTGGGAGGCTGAGGCAGGAAACCCGCTTGAACCTGGGAGGTGGAGGTTGCAGTGAGCCGAGATCGTGCCACTGCACTCCAGTCTGAGTGACAGAGCAAGACTCCATCTCAAAAAAAAAAAAAAAGTGACTGGGCCCCGCTGTGGCTCACCTCAAGGCAGAACAGGGTAGCAGCACACACCTCCTGCTCCAAGGAAGACAGCAGCCACTGGGAGTGTGCCGCTTCAGCAAGATGACTGTGCTTTATTTATTGCAATTTTATGCTGTGATTATGCATGTCAATCTATGCTGAAAATGGCAACTGTGCCCACTGTGTCTCCAAAAGAAAAAAAAAATTCTGACCAATTAAATCAGAATCCCTGGGTGTGCAGCCCTGGCATTGGTTTTTAAAGTTCCCCAGGTTAGTCTAATGTGCACCTAGCGATGAAAACCAGTGAAATCAAAACCATTCACTTGACAGATAAGGACAGTAAGGCCCATAGAGAGGATGGGGATGGCCCCATGGCACCTGGCCACCAAGTCTGGGGGCAGGATGAGGCTGGGAGGCTCAGGGAATACAGCAACAGAAGCTCAGAGGTAGTAGAGAAAGAGGCTGCTTCTGGGTCCTCAAAGTCACACTCCCAGCTCCAGCTAGGATAGGGTATCCAGAACCTTCCAAGCAAATCCGTGGAACCCAGACATGCTCCAGGGCAGCAAGCCAGAAGAATTACTCAGGGCCTCCAAGGTGCATTATTAAAGGATTGTGCTGAGTGAGAAGAGATATTTCAAAACGATAGCTTCCTTTTGTTCCCTATTAATATCTGGCATAAGCAGAGGATTAGAATTATTGAAAGGAATCTCAGTGTACACACCAGGCACTCTGCTCTGGGAGACAGCCAAGTTGTTCTTTCAAGAAATAGCATGTGTGCATTCCCAGCATCCGGATGAGTCTATCTGGCAGTACAGGGTCCTTTAATTAGGACTTCCAGGTCAGGCCCAGGCAAAAGCATGAGTGGGTGAAGTTCGTCTTTGTGACTTCTGTCCTTCCTGTCTGCAGCTCTTTAGCTCTCTCTCAGCACCTGTATGGGTGCAGGCGTTGGTTCAGAGGTGTCTGTGCGACCACAGAGCCTCACTGGCTCCACGCTCCCTCTGCTTCCAATGGGTTCTCATCTCCCCTTCAATCCAAATGTGGCACTTTCCAGGTCTCATTCTCTCAGGGCTTGTTTTATCCATCTCTGGAAAACTAATTAAACTTATGATGTTAATAGATAATACTTGTTTAATGAATTATGTCCCTCCTTGGTATATTAAGTAGGTTCCAGCAAGATCACATATCTAGGAGTTCTTTGAAATGTCATATAAATATAGGTACTATTTGACTTTTAAAATGGGGCAATCAGGAGAATCCAAGTTTTATGCAAAATGTATCCTCCTTATTGGTCAGAATTCCAAGCAACTTGCTGGGGAAAAAAATACCAAGATTGTCGGCTTTCAGTATAATTTTTCAAACAATATCCAGTAGGCAACCATCTACAGATTGTGGGCACTGTTAGATTTCTTTTTCCGAATTAGTCCATTCTTAATCAATGCAGTCGAACTCATCAGAAGTAGCTGTATTTCCTGAGTCTTTCTGAAAAACAGAGAGCCACCTTAAGGTTACTATAACGGAGACAAAATGTCAAGAAATTTTGCTCATAGGATTTTAAAATATTACCTGCTTCTTTCTTGGGAGCAGAAGGCTGGCACCAGCAGAACAGTTTAGCTAGTCTTAGCGGCCAGGAGCCTCATTCTTCGGGAACCCAGTTTTGTAGGTGGGGCAGGGCCCCCCCCCTACCAAATTCATGTGGCTGTGGACCCATTCTAGTACTTTTGTCCTGTTTGAAAACCAAATTGCTGCAGCTCTTGAAAGCAAGTGGCAGCTGCCTGTGGCCAGTCCTGCCTCTGAAGAGGGGCATGGCTGGGTGTGTAACTAGCATCTCTTCTGGGGAGGCGGAGTCTGCTGGCAGTCAGAGCCCAGAGTAGCCCTGTAGCCAAAGGACACATTGTGGGAGCAGCAGTGGGGAGGAAAGGGAGAAGGCGAGCTCCATCCTGGCACTCTAGCTCTGGGGAAAAGATTAGGCCGTTGGCATCAGGGCAGCAGTCAACACCAGTTTAATGCCCTGTTTGGAAGGCAAATGCTTTTTCCTGTTATTCAGAGTTTCCCCCAAATTTAAGAACAAAGAAAAATGAATGGCAAGTTTGCATGACTGATAAAACAAGTTTGTATGACTGACAGAATTTCTTCCTTCCTTGGATGACTTTTCTTTCAACATTTCCCCTTCATCTTCATTTCCAAATTCTCTCATTATACAATAACTTAGTTCAAGAGGTCACCTGGACATTTTTAAGGCTGTATTATGACCTAACAGCTTAATTTCTGGATGTTGTTGATGGCTTCCTTAGGATTTTTGTTGTTGCTGTTGAGATGGAGTTTCACTGTCACCCAGGCTGGAGTGCAGTGGCACAATCTTGGCTCACTTCAACCTCCGCCTCCCAGGCTCAAGCCATCCTTCCACCTCAGCCTCTAGAGTAGCAGGGACCATAGACATGCACCACCATCCCTGGCTAATTTTTTGTAGTTTTGGTAGAGACAGGGTTTCGCCATGTTGCCCAGGCTGGTCTTGAACTCCTGAGCTCAAACGATCTGTCCATCTTGGCCTCCCAAAATGCTGGCATTAGAGGTACAAGCCACCGCACTCGACCGGCTTCCTTCAACTTTTAAAACATCAAGTGAATAGGGACAGTGAACAGGGCTAAGGAAAGAGGAAATTGTTGGCAGAGGGTAACCTGTAGCTTGGAGTGGTTTATAAAGCAGTAACTGCCCTTTTAAAAACCAACACCTGAGGATCCTGTAGCAACCCCTGTTCTGTCCTGGACCACAGCCATCCTGCACACTCCTTGGGGCATCGCCTGGCAGTGGGGAACAGGTTCGACAGAGGGGCAACAAGCCTGATGCTGCAAACGGAAGGCTCCTGTCTCCTGGCGCAGGAGGTGCATGCGTCTGCTGTCTTCCCGGGCCAGGGCCCTGATGTGTTTTTGGCCTTCCAGTGCTGTTGAGTTTGAACACACAGTGCAACCAAGCAGGTGCAGGTTAGGCTGTCCTTTTTAGATGCTGGGAAAGTGCCTACCTCTACCTTTTACAATATGCTGAACAATCGTCCCCAGAACTCCAGGCTGAGCTATCTCCTGGGAAGCAGAGGACAGGTCAGGTGAGCAGGAACCTGGGTCCTATTTTCTCAACTGTAATGGAATTTTTAAGCAGCTGTGAGCCTGAAAGATTCGTTGTCCCAGTGGAATTATTAACAGCACCCCCTTTTACTCTAAAAAATACCTGACCTGAGCAATAAACTATATGGTCGCCTGTGAGTGCAATCCATGAAGATTCAAGATCATAAAGTGACTTGCTGGGAATCTCAGGGTAAGTTGGTATCTGAGCTGGCTCTTAAACTCAGGCAGCCCCAGGCCTCATTCTCACCTCTGTACCAAGTCATTTACTCTCCCTGTGACTCAGGGTTCCTGTGGGAAGCATTGTATCCCTCCCGCCCAGGCTGAGAACTAGTATGTTTATGTTGGCTAAACCAAAAAGAAGTTCGGTATAAATGTTGGGCGTTCAAGGAATTGTTTATCACAAGATCAGGTTACTCTGATATTTGCTTCAGGCTCTTATTAGCTCATGGCCATATTTAGGTAGAAATAGAAGCTCTTTTAAACGTAGAGAAGTTAGCTAGGCATGGTGGTTTGTGCCTAAAATCTCAGCAGTTTGGGTGGCAGAGGTGGGAGGACTGCTTGAGCCTCATCTCTGCATTTTTTTTTAAATTAGCCAGACGTGGCAGCACAAACTTGTAGTTTGAGCTGTTTGGGAGACTGAGGTGGGAAGATTGCTGGAGCCCAGAAGTTTGAGGCTGCAGTGAGTTATGATCATGCCACTGCCCTCCAGTCTGGGCAACAGAGCAAGACCCCATCTCTAAAATAAATAAATAAAAAGTAGAGAAGTTGATTTTACCCATCTCCATATAATTTCTTGTAATTTGCTTCTGGTAGTTTTGATAAAATGTGACCTAATATGAAAACTCTGCCAGACTTTTTACAAATGATCTATTCTGTCCTTGTATGTTTAGAACAAAATGAAACAAAAACTTGAGGCAGACATTGATTGGTTGTAATCTCTTAGTGTATACTGGGCAGGAAACTAGCAGCAGTCATTCTGGCTGTTTGATCTAGTCATTTCATCTAGGATCAGGAGGAAAATTTCCTGGATTCTTAAGGTCATGAGAGACCTGCTTAGATAGTCTAATCATTGTTGTTGATGTATTTTTATTTTCTTCCTGTGTGGCTTCTCCCCAAGGAAATGTCTGTTAATAAACAACTTTCCTTAGCATTGATATCCCCATCAACCCTTTCCAAATTTTCAGTTTGCTGGCGCCCAGGAGTGAATCTGTTTTACAAAAACTTTAATTTAATTCGGTGGCTAATACTGAATTCAATAACTAATGTTGGAAGTATCTATCACTTTATTATATATGCTCTACGCTCTTCCTGGGAAGTACACTGCATCTTTGGAGATGGCTGGAACTGGGATTTATGAAGCAGGAATGAAGACAGCAGGAGATACCCCTACTTTCATTAACACACTGCACCTGGCTCAGGGCTCCACAGTTGAAAAGGGAGGAGAGTCCTTGAAACTAACTCAACAGTTAAACAATAGGCGACTAAACAATAGTAAAATTAGGACCAGGTGTGGTGGCTCATGCCTGTAATCCCAGCACTTTGGGGGGACAAGGCAGGTGGATCACCTGTGGGCAGGAGTTCAAGACCAGCCTGGCCAAGATGGTGAAGAGAGACAGGAGTCTCTACTAAAAATCTAAAACAGCTGAGCAAGTTGGTGCATGCCTGTAATCCAGCTACTCAGGAGGCTGAGGCAGGGGAATCACTTGAACCAGAAAGTGAAGCTGCAGGGAGCTAAGATTACAGCATTGCACTACGGAGCCATTGAATGATGGTACTGAAAAGCATAGAAGGAGGTCGTGGAGGTCAGTCTTTTCCTTTTGAGGAAAAGATTTTAAGCCCAGGGGTTGAGGGGGGCTGCATTATAAAGGACACTAAATAAGCCATGAAGTATTCTTTCATTATACAAAAAATATAGTGGAAAGAATTAAGCATACCTGAAAGATGGGGCAGTCCATCAATCTTAATTTTTTAAGCCTTTTTGTTTGTCTTTAGGCCTATGATGAGTTAACATAGTCTTCAATTAATGGCATACACGCCCCCTCTTAGGTTTTATAACTCATTCCATTTCTCCTGCTCTCCCATTCTCCCTCTTTTCTCTCTTTCTTTTCACTGAACACTATAATTTTTAGGTCTATCTATGTTCTTGATGATATTTCTAATGAATGATGATCAGTAGTCTGTTAATTGTATGTATCTTTTACTTATTAACTCCTCCAGTAATGGACATCTCTCCTGCCTACAATTCTCTGAAATGATGCTGTAATGAATATTCTCATGTATATGTTCTACCACCCTTTAGATCTGGGTGGTGGGAAATAGATGAAGGGAAAGAAGTGGGCTAGAAGGCTTATGTTTTCTTTACACAGTATGGAATATTGAACTGTCCACGATAAAAGGAGACATAATGTAACCAGTTCTGGTTTAGTATTTCAAACATTTACAAGTTTCTCCAGGTTCTCTTGTACTTTAATAAGAGATTGAATGACAAATAATTTTCTGGAACTAAAAGAGCACGATCTTCAGTAATCTCCCCTCTCAATATAATTTTCTTTTCTTTTTATTTATTTATTTAAATTTCTTTTAGCCAGTCAGGCCAGGTGAAGTGGCTCACACCTGTAATTTCAGCATTTTGGGAGGCTGAGGTGGGTGGATCACCTGATCCGGAGTTCAAGACCAGCCTGGCCAACATGGTGAAAAGTTGTCTCTACTAAAAATACAAAAGTTAGCCAGGCATGGTGGTGCATGCCTGTAGTCCCAGCTACTCAGGGGGCTGAGGCAGGAGAACTGCTTGAGTCCGGGAGGCAGAGGTGCAGTGAGACAATATCAATGCCACTGCACTCCAGCCTGGGTGACAGAGAGAGACTCTATCTCAAATACAATAATAATAATAATAATAATAATTTTTTAGGTAGTCAAATTTAGCAATGTGGAGTTGCAGTCAATGTCATTTTCTTTCCTTTCATTCTTTCTTTTTTTTTTTTAGACAAAGTTTTGCTCCATCACCCAAGCTGGAGTGGAGTGGCACCATCTCAGCTCACTGTAACCTCCACCTCCTGGGTTCTAGCGATTCTCATGCCTCAGCCTCTAGAGTAGTTGGGATTACAGGCATGTGCCACCATACCTGGCTAATTTTTGTATTTTTAGTAAAGACAGCGTTTCTCCATGTTACCCAGGCTGTTTTCAAACTCCTGGCCTCAAGTGATACTCCATCCTCAGCCTCCAAAAGTGCTAGGATTACAGGCATGAGCCACCGCGCCCAGCCAAACGTCGTTTTCTTAAATTTGGCTTTATCAAACTAGAAGCATTTTATTTCTCGATATTGGTCATTGATTACCCAGAGAAAGCAAATGAAATGTTCTAAGAAATCTTATTAGTCATAAGGTTGAGTGAGGTTTCTAAAACATTTTGCCATTTTAATGATTGCGAAACCTGATGTGATTCAGTTGCCCAATTATATCCTGAGTCACTGGGAAAGCTATATTAGAACCTTAATAATGGTACCTTGTATTTAGGTAGTGTTGATAATTTATAGTGCCATTCATAAACATAATCCATCTCATCGAATCCTACTACACTGTGGGATAGGTGGGGCAGGATAATACCTTCAATAGTAAATGAAGAAATGGAGGTCTAAAGCAATTAAGAAAGTTGTCCAAAGTTACTTGGAGACTATGTAATAGAGCTGGCAAGAGACTCCAGGCCTTCTGAAGCCTCACTCAGTCTCTTTCTGCGGTATCACAGCTGATGCTCAGAGAAGCAATCTATTGTAGGTTCAAAGCTATTCCCTGAGCTGGACATTCTAGTGTATCTCTGTCCTTTTCAATTATTTCATGACGTTAATGAGTCGGCTAAAGCTGCTATTTGTCCTATTAGCTGAACACCTGCTCATCAAAACTACTCAACTGGGGGAAAAAAATTAGGTCCATATCACTGAGTAGCATGGCCACAAGCAGCATGGGTGACTGGACTTTGGCATAATTTGGAGCTCTGCAAGGTACCAGCTGTGGGTCATTTTATCTGTGACCTAATTATAGTCATAAAATAAGAATGGTAGTTGGACCATTAAAATAATAATCTATTAATATATATTTGTGCAAAGAGACAATTCCATTCTCTCAAAGACTCTTTTCTGGACTTTTCAAAATGCACACCTAACCTGAGGAAGTTCTGCCTGCTTGCATTAGACAGGGTACAATGGCCTAAGGAAAGGCATAGGACTGGGCAGCCTAAAAATCTACTGATGGTGCATGAGCAACACCACACAGGTCTCTAATGTATCTTACTACGGAATTTGAGCTCAGGCAAAAATACTGTAAACCCAGCATATATTTTCAAAAAAACCAAACATGATGTCACATCTGCAGAATTACAAACAGTTCTTTTCAGAGTCAGGCACTGGGAATGAGAACATTTTTAGAAAGAACATTTTAGCATTCTAAGTGATTGGATGTCTACAGAGCAATATGACAGTTTTATCTGCTTGATTCTCCATTGCCTGTGTAGCTTATCAGTATTTGATTTTTATTTGTTTATTATTTTTTGCACCCGGGCTGGAGTGCAATGGCACGATCTTGGCTCAACCTTTGCCTCCCAGGTTCAAGCAATTCTCTTGCCTCAGCCTCCTGAGTAGCAGGGATTACAGGGGCCCACCACCACGCCTGGCTAAGTTTTATATTTTTAGTAGAGACAGGGTTTCACCATGTTGGTCAGGCTGGTCTCAAACTCCTGACGTCAGGTGATCTGCCTGCCTCAGCCTCCCAAAGTGCTGGGATTACAGGCGTGAGCCACCACACCTGGCCTAATTAGATTTTTTAAAAATACAAGACTGATTTCTACCATCAGCATTTAAGTTTCTGAGCACTCTTCCTCTTCCATGCAACAAATACATCTCCTTATCCTTCAGTGTATTGAGCTAATTAATATTCTCCCGAACAAAACATAAGAAGTTAAATGGGCAACCAAAAATTAATAACATACTTCAAAACACAAAAGGAACATTTATTAGCTGTCATTTAAACATATTTGGGCCATTTTTCCTCTCTACAAACTATTTAGAAAGTTGATCCTTTTGTTATTTGCTTCCAAGCTTAGTAGTACACATTTCTCTTCTGGTTTAAAAGTTCTCTTTAGAAAATATTGAGACTTTCCCCCATATCAGAAATCTATTTGCCTCATTTATTGGTATATTAGGACAATAGACATTTTCAAAGAGATTTGATAATTCAACTTGTTTGACTAATCTGCCCCCTTCTCTATTATCTGGTTTGAAAAGCCCTGAGCGTGTGGCTGTGCCCAACAGAAATCTCTAGAACAAACCATTTTTGTTTCTCTGTTTATGTTTGATCACAGGACTGACTGTTGGAGATGTAATGGATATTCACACTTACTAAGCATTAGCACAACCATAGCGACAATAACCAAAGCAGGCAGAGGCCCAAGCACAACTCTATCTACCAGACAGATTCCTACCCTACACATTCAAAGTGCAATAAAAATGAAAGATCGAGAAATTTGAAGCTAAAATGTTTCCTCTTACCTTTAACCGTAGAGCTGCAACAGTATGTGTTTTTAAGAGTAAAAAACAGCCTACTGTTCATCACTGTGATTAAGTATATGTTGCTCTGTCCTCCAAGACCCTAACAGATCTGCATTTTGCTAATGTATAACAGCAGTAGCAATACCTAGGATCAACAGGAGCATTTTTGCTATTCTGTACCTAAGTGAGACATTTAACATTTTATGTATAATAAGGGGACCAGATGTCCAGGTTTGCCTGGGACACTTCTGATGTATGCCTGTTTTACTGGTATAATGGACACATTCCACCTGCATACAGGTGGACCTGTACACAGCTGTACCTGGCTACATCGAAGTCGCACTATAAATCTGTGTAGTCCTCAACAGTTCCTTGAAACCCTCTTCAATATCTGCACCAAAACCTCATTTCCCTAAGCAAGATTTTAATTCAAACTACATTTTCTTAAGTATTTTCTTTTAAATAACTTATTAAATTTCATCAGGATATTTCAATAGGATCATTTTCTACTTTTTTCCATTACAGATATAAAGCATTTTAGTATATAAATAATCTTTAGTGGGTTAGCCTAGGATCCTGTCTATAACTTATAATATTCTTTCTTGAGAAAACTTTTTCTGAATTCATAACATTCATTGTAGGGCTCGACTAGACCTTTAGAAAAGCAACCTGTTTACAAAATGCAGGACTCCTATAAGGAGATTATGGAAATGGAATTGCCTTCTTTTGTTTGCTCATTATTTCTACGAATGTAGACTAAATACTCGACTTATTTCATAGCACATTCAAAGAAGAAGCCTGAGGCTTTATGAGCATCTTTGACCATTTCCCCAGGTTTCCATATACAAGATTACAACATGAGGTGGGCTATCAATGAGAACTCAGTGCATATGCAGAATTTTATGTCCAGGGTTGACTAATGATTCATTCACTGCTGGAAGTAATTCACAGACACCCTTTCCTCCAATAGCTTTTCATAATATCTTCCTGTTTTCAGTAAGTGGCTACAGAAAGTCTGGACCACTGAGAGACTTGTTTCAACATTTCAGGAGGATCCTTAATTCAACAAAGCTCTGTACCTCTAGGGATTAAGTGGTAGCAATCATCAGTAAGCTCCAGCTGGTCTGGTTGAAGCCAGGCTTTCTATTCTATGAGGTGGTGTAACTTTTCTTGTTTGTATTCCGTATTATTCACATAATGCCATCTTTCAATGATGTCTGCACCAATTAAAGAAGAGCATATGAGAAGGAAAGCCAGCCTGGCTGGTGGTGCCAGTGGTTTTAACTGAAATCACTGGCTAATTCATTGAGTTAGGGCAGAACCATGTATGGTCACCAACACTGAGAAACATGCCACAGGGAGGGAAATACTCAGACTGGCCCCACCCCATGGGGAGCCAGGGCAGACACAGGGCACTGCCTTCCTTCTATTCTTTGAGCCAGCCGGCTCTACTGCCCCTTTTACCACAACTTCCCATCAAGGATCTGCTGTCTGCGGAGCTATTCAGTGCAAAGAGGAAAGATTAGGAACATGGATGCAGAAGTTAGATTTTCTGGGTTTTGTCCCTGCTCTATCACATACTAGATTTGTGGTTTGGAGAAAACTGTATCCATCTCCTTGGGAAGGGTATATAAGTTTTCATCTGTATAAGTTTCTACATGTGTAAAATGAAAATAATAAGAACACATAGTGTTGCTGCTCCTCTGATGATAAAATGAATGAATGCATCTAAGGTACTTAGACAGGACCTGGCATATAGTAATTATTCAATAAATATGTTGTTGCTGTTTTTATAATAACAGAGGATGGGTTTCTGTAGGTGATTCAGCAATAGGAATCAACTCTGAGTTGTTTGGGGGCACTGAGGATGGTATCAAAAGGCTGGAGAGTTATTTTCTCCAATTTTGCATTGTGGCTAGTCCTTGTTGAACACAGAGCAGTCTTTTCCCAAGTTATCCTAAATCAAATCATGTCAAATACCATTAGTTAGGTTCCATTCAACGAGTATCCAAGGAGTACCTGTTAAGTACCAGACTCTTCTAATGAATACTGGGGAGATTTAAATGTATAAGAAATGACACAGCCCCGTAGGAGAGCATATAATTTAGTGGGGAAGACAGGCCCATGAACAAATCATTTCAAAACAATTTCAGCCAGGTGCAGTGGTTCATGCCTATAATCCCAGCACTTTGGGAAGCCAAGACATGAGGACCGTGCTGAGCTCAGGAGTTTGAGACCAGCCCGTGCAACATAGCAAGATCCCATCTCTACTAAAAATAAAGAAAATCAGCTGGGGGTGGTGGTGCTCACATGTAGTCCCACCTACTCAGGAGGCTGAGGTGGGAAGATCGTTTGAGCTCTGCCGTTGAGGCTGCAGTGAGCCGTGACAGGGCCATTGCACTCCAGCCTGGGTAACAAAGCAAGATCCTGTCTCCAGCAAAACAGAGAATATCCATTACTCTCTTAGGCCATGGCAATCTCAAAAAATTGACTCACCAATTTATAAAATATTTGTTCCTGCTTGTTATCAATTTCCTCACTGCTCATCTTCTGTCCTATTAATGTCTCCTCACTAACAGATGAGAGAGGATAAACTGGGGAGTGGTGGTGAGGACGGAGCAGAGAAATTATTATTTTAGTGAAAATGCTAACAACTACATACAAACCAATGCACAGTATACAAGTGCATAATGAGAAAATATACTTAAGACATCACATCCCTTCCTGCCATGCCATTCTTGAGAAAATCCATGCAGGGATACATTTTATGATCAAGCAACATATATGGCATTTGGATTTTTTAAAGGGGTCTAATTTCAACCATTGTGCTTCACCATTCCAGAAAGACAACAGATTGTAAACCAGAAGGAATGAAATTTACAAGCTCTTCCTCTACTGGTTTGCCACCCAGGGGATACTTTACTAAAATCCTAACTCATAGCTATTTAAAGAATAGTAATATCAGGCTGGGCATGGTGGCTCATGCCTGTAATCCCAGCACTTTGGGGGGCTGAGGCAGGCAGGTGGATCACTTGAGATCAGGAATTTGAGACCAGCCTGGCCAAAATGGAGAAACCCAGTCTTTACTAAAAAAATATTTTTTTAAATTAGCCGGGAGTGGTAACACATGCCTGTAATCCCAGCTTCTAGAGAGGCTGAGGCAGGAGAATCACTTGAACCAAGGAGGTGTAAATTGCAGTGAGCTGAGATCACATCATTGCACTCCAGTCTGGGCAACAGAGTGAGACCCCATTTCAAAAATCAATAATATCTTCCAAGCAAGCACTTTACAGTTGAGAGACATGTTCCCTATAATAACATCATAAGAACTTTACTAGAAAGCTGTGAACTAGGCAGAGGTAGACATCATTATATTCCTTCTTTACATAAATGAAATGGAGGCTGGAGAAAGTGACATTTCAGGTAATTAGTACTGAATACTTCTCATTATTTGACCTTCTTTCTACATTAATTCCAATTTCCTTTTGTTCTTAATTCTGCCATGTTTCTAAAACAGAGTGTGGTTCCTAAGGCAAGAGGAAAGCCAACTTAGAAAGAAGGACCTGGGAAATAGAAAGCTGGTTTAGCAACCACACAGAGTACCTATAAAAACACACATCATATATGCAGAACTGAAAAATCTAAAAAGACAGCATTTTGTATTTTTAAGAGATGTATTAACTACGAGACATATGCCATTCCATAGCAGGACTGAAACATCAAAAACCAAACCTGATGACATCTTGACCTGACAAAACTTGCAGAAATAAGAGGTACTTAGGAGGGTGTGGTCACTGGTGACCAGCGGGAATGGCATGAATTCAAGTATAGTTGTCATCTCTGTCTTCCTGCCTCAAGTCAAGTGCAGCATGTTCTAGGAGAACAGCATGCTTGCTTGTCCTGAATTAGCAAGTGGTTAGGTATGTACCTATAACTGTTACATGAGGTCAAAAGTTAAGAGCTCAGACTTTACAGAACCAAGGAACAACCTGCATAAATTGTCTGCATTTCAATGGACTCTTATGAAAAATGGAATCAGGACAAAACTCGAAAGATTTCATTATCTTTATTGCCTAATGTCAAGTAGATGTTAGGGCTTTTAAAGAGATGCATAAAAGTCTGAAAGAATGCCGCCCCAGTAGCCAAGGTCGTGAAGCAGGAGAAGGTTGACAATGGCCTGTCCCCCAGTGAGAAAGAAAAAACTGGCTGCCTCCAGTCCCAACTCTTCACTAAAGGGACACATGATGATTAAGTTAGAGCTTTAAGATTCAAATAGGGCCGGGCGCGGTGGCTCAAGCCTGTAATCCCAGCACTTTGGGAGGCCAAGGCGGGTGGATCACGAGGTCAACAGATCGAGACCATCCTGGTCAACATGGTGAAACCCCGTCTCTACTAAAAATATAAAAAATTAGCTGGGCACAGTGGCGCGTGCCTGTAATCCCAGCTACTCAGGAGGCTGAGGCAGGAGAATTGCCTGAACCCAGGAGGCGGAGGTTGCGGTGAGCCGAGATCGCGCCATTGCACTCCAGCCTGGGTAACAAGAGCGAAACTCCGTCTCAAAAAAAAAAAAAAAAAAAAAAAAAAAAGATTCAAATAGGTGATTTGGGGATAGCTTAGAACCTCTGATATCAGTAGGCATAAGAATGTATATGCAGGGCTGGCACAGTGGCTCATGCCTGTAATCCCAGCACTTTGGGAAGTGGAGGCAGGCAGATCACTTGAGGTCAGGAGTTCAAGACCAGCCTGGCCAACATGGCAAAACACCGTCTCTACTAAAAATACAAAAATTAGCAGTAGTGGTGGTATGCACCTGTAATCCCAGCTTCTCGGGAGGCTGAGGTAGGAGGATCGCTTTTACTAGGGAGGCAGAGGTTGCAGTGAGCCAAGATCACACCACTGCACTCCAGCCTGGGAAACAGAATGAGACTCCATCTGAAAAAAAAAAAAAAAACATTTGGATGAATAAATCAGTCTTGATGCTTATGAAATCAAGAGCCTTTGCTGCTATAGCAAGAATGAAAGGTAGAATTGTGAGTCTTCCTCTGATGCTGTAGACAAATTAATGTTTTTTAAAGAAACCTCAAAACAGAATTAATTCCATTCTGATTTCTAAGAGAGGATTGTGAGAGAAATGATGATAACTAATATCAAACTACTTTTGAATTGTCTGTCAGCTGTTTAAACATTTAAGCACATTATTTGAGTTTACATGTATATCCTATTTTAAACCCACAGCCTAAGAGTTTTCTCTTACAGTTTCTTTTCATTTTTCTTTTATACTTTCTGTCCATCTCTCCCTTATTTCTTCTTCTTTAATTGGTCATTTTCAATCTATCTCTGTGGTTCATTTGGAGACTTTGATATTTACTTTTGTGGGAGGGATCAATAATATAGCTGACATATTTTAAAGTGCAAAATCAAATCCTGACTCTCAGGACTTCTGTAGAAGGGGAAATGGTAACATTTTTAGCATGACACAGACAAAAGGTCTTAGTAATTAATTTTCCATACATTTTATTTGTATTATTCTTAGTTACCAATGGAAATAACTGGGCTAGCCTGGAAACAGTGTCCATAACTCTCACAAAATACCTCCACTCCCCTTTTGGGCTGCAGCAGGAAATACTTCTACACAGTAAACAGCAAACGTGGAAACTTTTAGCCCCAAGACGTCATGCAGGCTGAAAACATAAATAGCTTCAAGAAGGCTTAGATACTATTCATGGATAAAAAGAATACAAAACAACTTTGACAAAAACTAACTTTGACCTACAAGTGTTGATGAGAATTTGGAGCAAAGGAAATAGTATGCACTGATGGGCAGGGGGTAGTTTTGTTCAACAACTTTATAAAACAAGTTGATATTATATTGTAAAGCTAGACAGCACACACCCTATACACCAGGAGTTCTACCTCTACTATATATCCTAAAGAAATCCTCATAGGCTTCAGAAGGCATGCACAAGAATGTTCAGAGAGGCAATGTTCAAATAGAAAAAAAAAACAAAACAGAACCTAGAGATCCACCAGTGGGAAAAGACATCTACTACATAAATTTTATATTCACAAAATGGAAACAGCATTGAATATGAATGAACTTCTCTATATGCAGAATGTGGATGACTTTTGGAAACACTGTTAAGTGAAAAAAGCAATTTATAGAAAAATTATATATGGTATGACACCATTTTTATAGAACTGAAGAGCAAACCTAAAACAAAAAAAGGGGGGGTTCTATGCATATGTGATAGAAATAATTTAAAGAGCAGTGGCATACCTGCAATCCCAGCTACTCGGAAGAGTGAGACCTGAGGATCACTTGAGCCCTGGAGTTACAGTGAGCTATGATTGCACCACTGCACTCCAACCTGAGGGAGACAGTGAGACCCCGTCTCTAAAAAATTAAATTGAAATGAAAAGCAAAGGAATTATTAATACAAAATTCAGAATTGTGTTTTTTTCTGGGGGCAGGTCAGCAAGGGGATGGGACTCAGGGAGAAGAACAGATAGCTTCCATAGTCTTAGTAATGCTTTAATTCTTAAATTGAGCGAGGTTCACTAGCATTTATTTAATCAATTTATGCTTCATAAGTTACATGTACATTACATCTGTCCACTTGATACCTAAAAGTGTTTGCATGAAAAATGAAAATATTTACTTCCCTAATCTTCTAAGTAGTCTTGGAAAACAACTCTCATACTTTTCCAAAAATGTTATTTGGTATCAATAATCAAATAAAACTTTAAGCAAGGTGGACCAGCTGATCTGATTGAGGACATTTTTATATAGGGAAAAATTTTTTTTTTCAAATCCCAAAGTCATAAATTCTTATTATTGAAAATTTGAAAAAGCAGAAAAATATAAAGAACAAAATGTTTAGATTATCCATAGTTACACGTAGATATAACCCACTGTTAGCATTTTGTGGGATTTCTCCCCAGTTTTCTAAAATATGTAAAATTGAAATCAATATAGCATTTTAAAATGCATTTTCCTATTGAGATTTGGGATCTTGTTCCCATAAAGGTAGCAGCGATGCTATGTATTTGGGATGTATTCGAGAGTAATGTTCAATTCTAACTTCTATTAAATATATTTTGTGCATAAATAATAATTTACATTTTAGCATTTCCCTCATTGGGAAACCTAAGGAATTAGAGGAGAACAATCACACTTAAGATTACCAAACCTTTTCCATTGTGATTTCTGGCTTCTAAGTCATTTACTTGAAATATGTGTGATAAAGTGGAAGGAGTTTTCCTTCTGATGATTTGCTTTCTTAAACTCTGATCTCAACACATGAATGCATGAGTGATCTCAACACAGAATGCATTTTCCTGAAAGATTTTTGAAAGTGTTTTACTTCATTTCTGAACTTTTGAAAGCATAGGAGAATCTCTGTTTTCTTTTGCTAATTTATAATTTTAAAGGCATTTTCCCCATTTCTGACCACATATACAAAAGATTAATAGCATTAGGCTTAAATTAGTCACTCCAATATCTACTTCTTTTTTTTTTTTTTTTTTTTTGAGACGGAGTTTTGCTCTTGTTGCCCAGGCTGGAGTGCAATGGCACGGTCTCGGCTCACCACAACCTCCGCTTCCTGGTCTCAAGTGATTCTCCTGCCTCAGCCTCCCGAGTAGCTGGGATTAGAAGTATGTATCACCATGTCCCGCTAATTTTGTATTTTTAATAGAGATGGGGGTCTCTCCACGTTGGTCAAGCTGGTCTTGAACTCCTGACCTCAGGTGATCCTCCCGCCTCGGCCTCCCAAAGTGCTGGGATTGCATGCATGAGCCACTACATCCAGCCTCCAATATCTACTTCTAAAAGTTTATTCTTTTAAAACAACTTCAACCTACCATCTACTTAAATGTTAAGATGATATATAGCATTAGAGCAGGTATAAGACATCAGAATATGTATGATTGATTTTAACGATTAAATTACAAATCTTTTAAGAGCTGAAATACTTTTTGTGTCTCTCCTGTGCTAGGTTTCTAAAATGCACTTCTGGTTCAAGAGGTCTATGGTGGGCATAGACATTTCCACAGGTAATTTTGAAGCCAATCCAGGCTTGAGAACACTGCTGTTAGGTTAAGGATACCAACCACCAAGTTTATACTTAAAAGAACAATTCTCTCTCTCTCTCCAGCTCTTGTGCTAGCCTGGAGAGGCAGATCAATGCTCCACTTCTGTTTTTCAATTTTTCAATTTCTGGGGGGCCTTGATAGCCTGAGTGATGCCCCCTCCTACCTACTTCAGAGTAATTGAATAAGTGACGAAGGGGAAAATCCCCACCCCTTCCCAAGATCCACCAGTTCTCTTGTGGAACTGGCCACACATCATTTTTCTCAGGAAAATACAGAATGTTTCAAGAGCCCATTGCTTCCAGGAAGTTCACAGTGAACATAAAAGAAATACAGGCTGAAGAATAATCCACCTGCTTGTTTCCCTTTTGGCCAACTTACCACAGGACTCGATTTATGGGGAGAATCTGCCACTGATAATCTTTTTCTCTTGGTTTGATATTAGTGCTATTACAAAGCAGTCAGAATGACTGGAAGAGGCAAGATAAGATGGCAAATGTGAGCCCAACGCAATTTTTTGGTTACTACATAGGTAACCAAAGATTCCGTTGATAGTGCTTTTCGTGAGCTAGTTTATATAAGTGGATACTTTAAAAAATATATGATTATGACACAACTGTGTACCCCAGGCATTGGAATTTAGAAAAAGCCAGCAGTTTGCATTTAACTTCTTGGAAATGCTCACGCAATGTCTTCCCCCAACCACAAAGGAAAAATACACCGGACAAATTACTCTTTGAATGTTTGATGAGATATGAAGAGCCACAACAATAAAACTTGTGCTAAGATTAACATTTGAGTAGCTTCAAAGTATTTTTAGTTCTTTGAATCTGAAATTGTTTAGACTATCTTCAGAGAAATTTCTTGACTGTTGTCTTGCTGGAAATCGTTGAGAAGTTTTGTAAGGCCAAGGTTACCCAGGCAGTTTGATTTATATCTCCTCCTTTAAGAGAGACAGAGTGAGAGAAGAAACAAAGTTACAGCAAACACTTGTCAAGCAAAGGGCTGAGAGGTTTGCAGATGAATAACAGATACATTTGACTGTAGAGATATTCCACCTTTGTTTCTAGAAATCAAGTTTGTTTGGTGTACCTTGGAGAAGTAGGCACTTTCAAATGGTCCTCCCACGCGTCTCCTTGGCAGCCAACCAAGGCCAATGGTTCTCGGCCAACTAACCCAAGGAGTTCTTTAAAGTCAACCCGGACCTCCCCACAAAATCTCACACAAACTCCTCTAACAGGAAGCCATAGAAATCTAATAAAATATAATGCACTAAATTAAACATAAGACCAGTAGCAGCCCTTGTGTTTTATAATAGGAATTAAATAACCAAAAAAGAGGGGGACGTATATGCAGAATAGTCAGTTTAGAAATCTAATATTTCTGAAGGACTGAGGATTCTACAAAGGAAATGCCAAAATTTTCCTGGAATAGCCAGCAAAACTATGTTAAGTGAAATTAACTGGAACCTTTCTAAGGCCAGAAGTAAAATCGGAGGCAGCTGTCTCCCAGCCCTTGCGTTCTTTCAAGCAAAGCAAGCAGTGGTGGGTGGTTTCCATGTGCGACTTTGGCTAGACTTTGTGTCCTATTAGGGCAGTCCATGCCCATTCAAAATGGCAATGAGCTCCTGCCTGCATTATGACAACTGCCCTCCTGGTTTTTCCTACCACACTAAAGACAGACTGCCCTGCGGAGTGAGAAGGGTCTAGCGGAACACAGGTCTCTAACTGGGCAATATTCAGAAAGTTAGTTTTCCTATGCTCATTTTCCTGGGCTGTTAGAGAAGAGGACTGGAGGAGGTAATTTCCAAGGTTCTTCCCAGCTCTGAAGTTGTGTGTCAAAGGAAGGGGCAATGGGTGCATACAGAAGAGGAAGGGCTTCTGACCTGGTCTGACCCTCTCCTGCCTCAGCACCGCTACAGGAATCAGTGCTACGGATTTTTAGGTGGGAAAGCATAGAATCCCCTAAAAACATGGGATTTCATGATGGCTTGGCAAGTGCCTTCAGCCGGACTCTCACAGTAGAATGACTTCCTGTTGTGCCTCAAAGCCCCTTCAAAGTGACCTAGAGGAGAGGTAAAGACATTTATTTAGGAAGTAGAAAATGCAGGTCACAGTGGAGAAGCTTATAACAGCATTGGGTACATTCTCCTGGCCCATCAGTGAAATGTGGCTCAACCCAGGCACAAACCATATCACAACCTACTCAGGATTGTGCTGGATGGATGATTTTGCAATTGTTTGTTTAAACAACAAACCAACGTGATTCCCACACTTGCGCATGTCTTTTACTGTGAGCGGCAGTCAAGCCCTGACAGGTGTGTCAAACCCACAATCAAGAATATCTTGAAGACTCCAACTTTCTACACCTTCCTGCGTCTTAAATTAGGAGGAGGAGGTGGATGGGGGCGTTACATCTGCAAATTTTTAAAATTTTAAGTTTTTGGTCCCAATTCAGAGACCAATTCAAAGAACCCAGCAGGAAGTCATGTTGCTTTAAATTTGCTAGAGTAACGTTTGGCTCTAAAGTAAGGAGATACTAGAGATCTTGAAGCTTGCAATGGGCCCATTTTCCTGACTTTATAGTACATTTTCGTACGATCGCAAGGGAAGTCTGAAATTATAAAAGACGGTTGACTGGATCCTCCTCATTGGGTTTTGGCTCCAGCCTGCAAGTCCTCCCATCCGGGAGCAGTCAGTGAAGCAGGCTCTTTGCCGTAAATTGTGGAATAGCAGGGACTCACTAAAGTATAGTTAGAAAGAGCAGGGACAGAGGATTGAAGGAGGAGGTCGCAGATCGCAGAGTGACCCGTGAAGGCCCCGGAGGTGAAAATTTCTCCTATGGTTCAATTCCCCACCTTAAATCTCTTCTCTGCGGACCTATCTCCAGCTCTGTAAAATGGAAAGACATTAAAAGCACCTCCTCCATCTCCCCAACTTTGAGAAGTAATTGTCTTGCGGGGAACATTTTTTGGAGGAAGGGTGGGGTGTGCAGCCCTTCCTGGAAAGGGCCCCAAACCGCCAACCCACTGCACAGGCATAAGCCCGCGTACCGGGGAGCCCGGCTAGCCGCGGACTCCGGCGAACCCACCACCCTCGCGATCTGTCAAGTCTGTCCCCAGGGGAGGTCCCCCTTTCGGGAGGAAGTTTTTAAGGCAATTTCTCAAAATCATCCCCGTGCCTCCTTCACTCCTTCTTTAGAGCCGGAGGGAGGTGAGGGCACGCGGAGTCATCTTCCTCACCCAGGTCGCAGGCCGAGATCCACGGCGAGTTGCTGCAAGGAGTTCCCGGGGGGCGCGGGAGGTGCCGCACGCTAGGCTCTGCAGTCAGCCCGCAGCATCGCTCGGTCCCGAGAGGGAGGCCTGGGTGGGGGCAGTCCTAAGTCCCCCTCAGCCTGCAGCCGCCGGGGACTCGCACGGCCGTGGCACCGCGGGAGGGGGCGGCCGGGGCTGGAGCTGCACGGGTGGCGCCGCGACCGCCTCCCTTCGCTGCGTCCCGCCCGCCGCCTCGCTCACCGCCGCCGCTTCTCCCCGCCCCGCAGCGCGCAGGGACCATGTCGGCGAAGACGGCGAACGGCCCCACGGAGGACCAAGTAGAGATCCTGGAGTACAACTTCAACAAGGTGCACAAGCGCCCGGACCCCACCACGCTGTGCCTCATTGCAGCCGAGGCTGGCCTTTCGGAGGAGGAGACCCAGGTGCGTCCCCGCACGCGCCCGGAGCGCCCGACCCCTGGCCGGGCTGGGCCGTCTCGGGGCTGGGGGGTCCCGATCATCCGCCCCTCCCGCCGGGCTGCCCTCCCCGCGATCTCCCATAGCTTCGGCTCACATCCCTGTGGCCTGGACCCTGCATGGCTCCCCCCGGCGCCTCCCCCTTCCCCGCTCCCATGGGCTCCCAGTCTCCCCGCCACCCCCAGCCAGCCGCGGTTCCCAGGGAGCTGCGTAGAAACCCGGCAGTCGCCGGTCCTTGCCTGTCCCCAGCAGCCTAGGATATGGGATACACGCTTTCTCCCCCTCGGGGTCGGGAGCAGAGTCTCTCGCCTGTCCCTGTCTCGCTTTCCCGGCTCTGCCCGCTCTGGTCTGCCTGCGAAGCCTCCGGGAAGATCTATTCTAGGCGGGAATGTCAGAGCTGGACGGCACCCCAGAGACCAGCTAGCCGTAAATTCAGTCCTCCGGTTTTGGCGAACCAGGAGGCTGAGGCCGGGCGGGAGGGCGCCGTCAGGATGGCAGGAGCCGTGAAGCATGCTCTCTCCACCACATCACACTGCAGCGTCCCCGGAGCTGCAGAACTCACACTGCACGAAGCCAGGGAGATTTGGTTACCATTAAAAAAAAAAAAAAATTACCCGGCTCTAAGGTTTAGAGGCCTTTCCTGGAGTTTTATAAGGCGGCAGATAGCTGACATTACTGCTGATGGGAGAGGCTGACAGTGTCCCCCTAAGTGCATTCATTGATTTACCTATATTTTTAATACTCCCATATTGTCCCCCAAAATGCCAGGTAAAGAATACGACACTGCCTGTGGTTGTTAACCACAGGTGCAATGCTGGAGCCGTTAGCTGACTTCTCAACGCCGTCTAAACTCTGACTTCTCTTTTCCCTTTGGTCATGGAAAGACAATCCTTTATGCATGATAGACTTCTTGGACCTGATCTAGCATTTCTCCTGTTTGGCCCCAAAGCACTTCACACCTCTAATCTCAGCTCTAAAGCAGAGATGTTCTTATTTTTCCCATTTATATACCAGAGCATCGGGCACTTGATCTGTCACCACGAGTCACGCTCATTTGAGGTTTAGAAGCTTGTAATGGAGCCAATAGACCCTACAACCAAGACACTGGACCCCAAGTCCAAAATTATTTTTACTAATCAAGCCAGAGGCACACGGAGAGTCTGTCTGTAGATGATCCTGTTATTTGCAGGTCAAATAGAAAGGCAAAAATATCTATTTTTAGCAAATGGATCAGCTGTCTGACCAACCAGAACCAGAACTTAATGGAAGGTGATTTACTGTAATCCAAGTCTAACAGCTCATGTTTCTTTGCATCCCTTGGGAAGGCAGCCTGCTGAAATTTTATCATTTGAAATCCCATACTATGCTTAGAAGAGAGGAGTGATCACAGAGGCAACTTATCTTTTAAAAAGAGGGCTGTGAAATATTGCGGGTACAGCACCAACAGGAAGTCCAACCCCTTCTCGGCCCCTGATTGTCCCCGACAATTGTCCCTGAATTGCCATCAGTCGCCTTACCTATAAAGCAGCATAATTACATTGACCTTTGTAATGGCTAATACTTGCCAGGCATTTTTCTAGGCACTGTCCAAGTAGTAAATCATTTGTTTGTCCCAACAATACTGTGAGGGTAGATGCTATTAGCCCACTTGTCCAGATAAGGGAACTGAGGCACAGAAGGATTAAATATACTTGCCCAAGACAGCAGCTAGAAGGCAGTAGGACCAGGATTTGAAGCCCAGACTCAAACCACCATGCTATGCTCTCTCCACTAGGGAGGAATAGAAATCACTAGACAGAGCAGGAGGAAAGACCTGGCAACTCACTTGGTGCCATCTTTCCTCTGCATTAAACAACAGCCCTCCTAGGCTATATTCAACCTTTCCTTGAAATTTACCTGACATTAGAGAATTGAAATAAAATCTGGTTAGGGGTAAGAAGAAGGAAAGGGCACCTGAGTTTTTTTCTGTGACTGAGCTCAGCCAATTCAGATCTCTGCATAGCAGCTCCTTCTGCCTTCTCAGGCAGTCTTTCTCCCACTTCCCCTCTTCTGCCACCCTCAAAAAAACAAATGGTAGACCCAGCCCCAAAATGAGTGGATGTGGGGTGAGTCAGCCTCTTAGCAGGGCCCCTGGCTTCCTCTTCCTGCCACAAAACCAACACCTCTTTCCTCCCTACAGCGACCACAACTTGGCTTGCACCTCTGTCTTCCTACCTCAACCTGCAGGGGAGCATCTAGAACCCCAGAGCTTAGACACAGGCAGCACTTAGCAAGCTCAGGGAAAGAGACTTCCTAGGAACCTCAGGCTGCCTCCCTGCCCTTACGGGATTGGGTCTCCTCTTTCAATTTCCCATTCTTTCCCCTCCCATCCCACTACCCCATGGGCACTGGTGAATGAGAATGATTTCTTCTTTCATCTTCTCAAACAACATTTATATATTTAGAGTATCTTCTAAGAAAAAGAAAGTGTCTGGCTGGCTGGATGTGGTGACTCACACCTGTAATCCCAGCACTTTGAGAGGCTGAGGCAGGAGGACTACCTGAGGTGAGGAGTTTGAGACCAGCCTGGGCAACATGGCAAGACCCTGCCTAGCTCTAAAAAAATAAAAATTAAAAAGTCAGCCAGGTGTGGTGGTGCATGCCTGTAGTCCCAGCTACTCTGGAGATTAAGGCAGGAGAATCCCTTGAGCTCAGGAGTTCAAGGCTGCAGTGAGCTATGATCTTGCCACTGCACTACCCAGCCTGGGTAACAGAGGGAGAACCTGTCTCAAAATAAGTAAATAAAAATAAAAATATTAAATATTTTAAAATATTACAAAAAGAAAGTGTCTTCTGGAGGTATATGCTCAATGATGAACTTTCAGTCATTAAAATGATTTTTGTTTACAGCAGTTCTTGTAAGAGCCCTTTAAATAACTCCACGGAGGCCAGAGCCTGCTGGGCCTACATATAAGTAGTGTCTGGTATTGACACTTTGCCTGTTTATTTCTTTTCTTTTTTCCTTTTTTTGAGACAGTGTCTCACTCTGTCATTCAGGCTGGCATGACCAGTACAGTGGCATGACCATGGCTCACCTCAGTCTCGACCTCCCAGCCTCAGACAATCCTATCTCAGCCTCCCAAGTAGCTGGGACTACGGGCATGTACTACCACCACGCCTGGCTGATTTTTAAAATTTTTGTGGAGATAGGGGTCTCACTATGTTGTCTGAGCTGGTTTCGAACTCCTGAGCTCAAGCAATCCTCTTGCCTTGGCCTCTCAAAGTGCTGGGATTACAGGCGTGAGCCACCACTCCCAGCCTCCCCTCTGTTCTTACTAGTGTTGCCCCTTTCCATGGGAAAGGGTCACCAAAGCCAAACTAACATTTGTTTCACATGCCTGAGTCCCCATCCCACCCAGGACCACCCACCTCCAAAATGGGATCATATTCTTGACTTTCCTAGAACAAGTAATACTTCAGTACAAGAAAAATAAGCCTGGGCTGCCCAGTGCTCTTGCAGGATAGTTACTACAACTGATTCACAGGGCTGATACTTGGGCAGGGACAAGTGGGACTAAGAAGTTGAAACATTCTCTGTCTTGGGAGCTTTGCTGACCTCTTTATAACTGCAGGACAGAATTATCTATGGGGTTGGAGGTGGTACCTATAAGAACTCGAAGTAAAGTGAAGGGTGCTGTAATTGAAATAACTTTCTAAGTAGCATTTACTGGGATGTTAGAATGGGTTTTTCTCATGACAATTATCTCCTACATTTAAGTTAGATGAAAACTTACAGAATCCCAGCCCTATGTCTTTTATTTTGAAGTCAATGTTAGAAGAGGCTGGGAAGGCTCCTTCTTCAGCCCCCTGGGAGGCTGGGATGATCTGGTATATTCTATTCTCTCTCTCTCTCTCTCTCTCTCTCTCTCTCTCTCTCTCTCTCTCTCTCTCTCTCTCTCTCTCTCTTCAATTCAAGCACAATGTAACTGGAATCGGTTCTTAGGGAGGTCTCCAAGTATTTTTATCTCCTCTTGATGTACTGACCTTGTTCCCAGAACCCAGTGGTTTTAGTCACTGGGTGTTTTATCAGAGGAATAAAGACCTCTAAATGTCTCTCTGTGAAAAGAATGAAATGTTAGTTACTAGAGAAAAGGACAGGGACAATGTTCCTTTGCCCAAGCCCCTTCCCATCACAGTGTCTAATTATCATCTGTTTACTCCGAGTAAATAAATCTCCATCCGTGGGCAGGGGTAATGAGGGCATTCATTTATAAGTAAGCAAGGGATGAATGTCTTTCCCAGTGGATGACTGAAACAAAGAAGAGAAGGATAAAGCCAAGTGGAAAATTAGCACTGATGTGAGTGAGATGTGATCAGGTACAGCTCTAAAGGGAAAAAAAAGCAAGCAATGTATTTAATGATTTCTGCTGGACTGCAACTGGTTTTGCTAAATTATTACATATATACTTAATTTAAAATATGCATCTTCAAAAAATAGTGAAGCTTTTCTTGACCCTCCTCCCATCCCCCAACGCTAGGGCTCAATTTGTTCAGCATTTGGGTACCAACTCACAAAACCACAAATTGTCCCTGCCGAAGTTATTTTCACAACAGTCCATCAATATTCTGCTTCATGACATAGTGTAAAGATGTGGGTGGCTCTTTTAAATGAGACCAGCTCAACCATTTTGTCTTAAATGAAATCTGATAGAAAGTGAGATTTTCCTCCTCCAGATTTTAATTAGTCAGTCTTTACAAGGCTGCCATTTATTCAGCTCTAGTAACTGGAAATCCTATTTAATCAGACCTTGTATCCTTGAAACCCCTCACAGA